ATGTAGTTGCGCTTTGCTTTATGTAGTTGCGATTTCCTTAATGTAGTTGCGCTTTGCTTTATGTAGTTGCGATTTCCTTAATGTAGTTGCGCTTTTAGATTTGTAGTTGCAGTTTGCACTTCAGGGCCACCGTAGGAAGGTGACTAAAACCAGAGAGATAGTTTAGTGTCTAAAACAGCCATGGCTACGGCCTGATGCTAACATGTTTGTTAGATGTCAGAATTCAGAGATTAAATTCAGAATTCTGAGAAAAAATTTAAAATTCTGAGATTAACCTCTTAATATCCCCCTCATTTCTGGGAAATTCGCCTATTTTGCATACCCAAATGGAAAAGCAAATAACTCAGGAACTGTAAAGCCCAAAATTACATGTGATATAGTATTTAAAAGCTAACACTTTCTATTTTCAGAATATATTCATGTAAGTGTGTAGTAAAACACACAAGCTGCATCAGTTCAAACAAGACTCAAAGTAGTTTTTTTATTCTCAAATATAATAGGTCTTTTTTGAACAGCAGTAATAAAGACATGCTTGCTTGTTGTGGCTGCTTTGTCATGCTGCATTTCAACATACTGCTATTATTGTGCTTTATGCTCACTATGTCCATAAAATGACCTAGGTGGTTGAATTGTGGAATATCTAAGCTTTCAATCGATGTCTAACATGTTTATATTGGTAAACATTTTACCAGTGGAATTTTCATGCATTCTGAGTTATTATATGTAAATTCTTTAAAAACGAGAGATTAAAGTCAGAATTCTGAGATTAAAGTCAGAATTCTGACTTTTTTTCTCATGTTTTCAGGGTTTTTACAGGAATAATTAAGTTTAATTTAATTATTTTTAATACTCTTATAATTTAAATAATTTTAATGCCATCAACAAATATCCATGACTCTCATATATACACGGCAAATTCCTTCATCTTTTCCATCGGCAGGCTGCAATTCCTCAATTTCCAGCCACTTTTGTTGAAATTAGCATTTTCCCCATTCTCTAGGCTTTTCTCTGCAGAGAGCTTCTTTTCTGAACATACAGCTTAACAATCGACCGGAAGCAGTTCCGCGCAAATATATTGCGATGTGTTTGCAATATATATATTGTTTAATAAATTGTTTTTATAAACTTTTTTTCTAAATAAAGCATTTTAAATGCCAAAATCATCACATTTAATGAATTTTAATGCCAAATCAGGCCTTAAATTAAAAAATAATTATTCAATGACTTTTAATCATTTTTAATGACCCGCGGAAATCCTTATTATACTGAAATAAAATTTAAAAAGCAGTTTACTTTTTTTTTTTTTCAGCAGCCCTAATCCTCTTCCGTGCCTAATTCACAAAACAATTTTAAACTTTTTTCTTAGTTAAAATATTTTTCTAAACAATATAACCTTTACATTTTCCTTCACAGTAATGCACTATTTTACATAGTAATTATTTAAAAAAAATAATTAAAAGACTGTTTATGATCTACTAGATTCACGGTGCCTTGTTGAATTGTAAAGTGCCTTGAGATGACATGTGTTGTGAATTTGGCGCTATATAAATAAACTGAATTGAATTGAATTGTTAAGTTTTCAGATGACAATATTCATGATAAAGTTGCAATGCCACAGCGAGTGAGCATCATTTATTAGCGTCACTTCTGAAGAGGTAGGATCTGTCAGCCATGACAGGCATTAATCTCCCTTCCTCATCGTCTTTCTCTCTCCTCCTTTGCTCTGCTCTATATCCCAGATCAACTTGCATAGTTTCTGTTATCTTTCACTGCAGCTTATAAGGATTGTGAGGGTTTATGCTGTGACTTTATCTAAAGCTGCATCCCATTCTGCTGATTTTTCAACCTGAGGTTTTGAGTTGAATGTTGACATGACCGACTTTCGCAAAATGAAAGGTGGGGATCTGGAAAGGATCCACTTGTTATAGCAGCTGTTTTCCAAGCGGACACTTGGACAGGTGTGTATGAGTGTGGGGGGAGAGGTGAAAAGCCACAGTTCCTGCATATCTTTCTGTGAACATATCAACCTTTTCACTTTAAAAAAAACATTTCCCATTTCTTCCAATGTGGAGGGATTTTGTTCCTTTATTATTTCAAGCAAAGACCATGTTTTGTAAAAGGAAATGATTTTTAAAAAATCCAGAAAAGAAGCTCTGAAAAATGTCTTAATCAATAAAAGTTTTTAAGAGTAACTTTGCGGTTATCTCAAGTGTTTTTTTTAGCATTTTTTTTTCATATTTGATTCTTTCAGATTTTGTTTTTTACAATTTAATATTTTGAAATTCCATTTTTTTTTCAATTGCTGTTTTTTTTTTTTTTTTTGAGTTTTACGAACTACACTCTTTTAAAAAATGTTTTTTTACTGATCCCTTTCTGGTTTACTTCAAGGCCCATACAAAAGCTCACTCTTGAGCAATAAAAATGTTTTGCTAATAGAAATGACCAATAAAGATGCATTTTCAGTCCCAACTCCAGAGGACATCCCGCCCCCAGAGGTGAAGAGAATGTGATCTGTAAAGTGCAGTTTTACACTATTCCTAAAACTAAATTTGAAAGCATTAATATCTGAAAACATAAAT